TTTACTGCTGCAGTTCAGGTAAAAATTAAACGGCGTAGAAACGTGACTGAATGGTGTTTCAAGAAATGAATAATAAGCTTCAGTTTACATCTATTTATAATACATCTCCCTGCATAGTGTTGATACTTGTCCATGATCCCACTGTACTTCTTGGTGAGATTTGACACTTCTCACTTAAAGCCGATGGAAGGAAAGCTTGCATACTGTATGAATGCACATCACGGATGGAAACTAGCTTCATATGAACATAACATACTGTATAAATTGTATTTCAGACCTGGGAAATGTTTTATGCTATCTGTCGCCATGTTTTATGAGTGTGAGGACAGTTGAAATTAATTACTTATAAACTTTTACTTTCTTTTCACACCTGGTTTAATTGGCAAACTAGTCATTTTGAATACCGGTTTTAGTCAACAGAAGAGCAAAAACCTTTGTGTTGTCTCAAGTGAAATGTTTAGAAATTAACAAAATAAAAGCTAAGAAGAGACAGTGAAGGCTTAAAAAAAAAAAGTATCAACCCAGGAATTAATTTGTTCCATACTACAGCAGTCAGAGCTAAGTTACCTCTCTCCTCCAGGAATCAGTTCGGTGTCTGGCTGCGGAGAACCAAACAACTGCTGTGTTTGCTTTTCTAACTCAATTTCTAAAGAATCACAACGGGTGTGTAGGCCGAAAATATATTAATAAATCAATACTGGCTAGTGGCATGTTCAGGTTGGAGTTAATGTAGTTCTCTACACACAGCTCCTCTTCTTGATCCATTAAATTCTAATATAGCATGTTTTAAAAAGTGAGGGATGTTAAACTAAACTATTACTGGAGGTCTGAGCAAACAGCGGGGCTATGTGGTTACCCGCTTCATGGGCTCTCTGACACCATAAACAAGACAAGTTTGTTTATATAGCACATTTTCATATGCAACAGCAACACAAAGTGCTTAACACAAGGCACACAGATGGATAAAACATTAAAATGCATACAAGATTCACACAAACTGATAAAACAGACAGTACAAGTAGCAACATGTGTGAGTGCATACCTAGTAGTTTTAGTCCAGCTGCAACAAACTGTGGATTCTCACTGTTCTCAAGATGCTTGTACCTCTTTACTTCAGCTTTAATAAGCTAAAGGCACAATGTTTTGAAATAAATCCTCATCAGCCTGAGATTAGTCCAACAGATGGTGATTACAGTTTTAGGTGGTAGAAACAGCAGAAACCAAGCTCTCAGTGTACAAATCCTCACACCGTGATGAAGACAAAACATCTTGTTAGAACCACTGTCAAACACGTCATTAATGTAAACCTGGTGCCCTGGGTTGTTTCCGCTACTTTTATTTAACTTGAACTTTATGTATACACATGTAAAAACAAACCACATTCATGTACCCCAGCTGCAACTCAGTATAGTCAAGTTATAGCTTTAAGGCAACATTTGTCTGACGGGCTTTCATTTCTCATATTTCCCACAACTTCCTGCCCTCACGAAACTGCCCAGCTATCCAGTGTGCTCTTTGGTTAATTCAATTTCTTTGTGGCTTGTGAAAATCCATTAGGAAATGATAACAATAATATACAATAATAATATACATTTATTTTACTTGTTGTCCCAGTAAAACTTGCCACCATATTCAAAAATAAATAAACATATCAGTGCTCCAAAACATAAATATCCTGTGTAAAGATGTTACAATTACTTCTTAATTAACTGATAAGTCAAATTATTTGAACCTGTTGAGGATTGGTGCAGTCGGCTGTAATGTCTCTTATGACAGCACAACTGTGAGCATTGCTTCTTAAGCGCACACACACACACACACACACAAATCCAACAATCTCTAGATATTGGCTTGTATCACAAAATCAAATAATTACTTCACTTCATTCTTCCAACTTCCTCAGGTATTTCCTCGTTGTTTGTTATTCTATATTTTCAAGCAGGAAGCACCTGTACCAGATTACAGTATGTCTACTGAGCAGCAGTGTGAAGTGTATTATGGATAAAAATAAAGAGCAACATGACAGCATCAGATCAAACTGCTCTGTTCTGTTCTGCACACCCCCACTGGAAGGAATATCACTGCATACCTATTAACTTTGTACAACAGTGTGTCCAAACGAAATGAAGACTGCCACCATAAAATGGCAGTGATACAATAACACCTGAGAATAGCAGCAGCCCAGGCTGCCGCTCACTGCCTATTCTTGTACTTTCTCATATGTGCTGCTATGGAGCCGGTGATCTCCACATTTCTTTTGTTCTGTCCAAAATAATCCACAAACTCTCCATCAGGCCCCACGAGGTACATGATGATGGTGTGATCGACCTAAAGGCAATAAGAGGAGGAATTCAAACAGTTAGTTCTCTCAGTGTACAAAATCTTGTAGCAGCTGTCCTCCTCCCATTATTTTGAACTGTAATTGTCAGCAGGTTACAACTCACAATGTAGTCGTTGTCTTCATCCTTTGGTCCCTGACTGTAATACACTCTGTAGGATCTGGAAACCTGCTCAATCTGAGCTGCTGTCCCAGTCAGACCAATCAGCTTTGGAGAAAACTCTGAAAAATACATGAAAAGTTATTACATATAATGGAGTCAAAGAAAACAAGGTGTCTAGAGTATAAACAGAGAATATCATTCTATGGTTCAATATAAAATTAGACAGGTTAATGAGGAAAATACTGAACAAGCAACCTAAATAGCAGCATTTCATTTAAAGGTAATCAGACATTTTGGAGCTTATATTTGTAGTCATTCTGGTTTTATAGTTCAGGGGAATACATTCCTTTTTTCTGGGAAAACTGGGATTTATCACCATAAATGACATTTGATTTCAAACACAGAAATACATATAATTCTTGACAAAACTGTCTTGTAATTTTCTGGTACTGTTCTTTCATATATGACAGATTAATTTATAATATTTTGGGCAAAACAATAACTTAAGTACAAAAAAGAAATCACAATGCAAACAAACAACACAGAAATATTTCATCCTCTTATAGTCTTCATAGAGCTGATCTGAAATCAGTACTACACACAGTATGGACGGGTTATACCACAAAATTTGGCTTCAATCCGGTACCAAGTAGTGCAGGGTATCGAATTTTCATACTTTTATGGCATTGATCAAATTAATTCAGTACCATAGGGAATCAAAACTGTCAAGTATCCATCCACCATCTATAGACAGTGAAGAGAGTCACATGCCTGTTAATGTGCTGTTTGTTTGCATTACAAAAGGGGGGAAGAGGCGCATTTCCCAAATTAAAAGAATTATCTGTTCATCTGACTAATATTTTTTCCTAAATTTATTTCTTACATCTATCAAAACTATCAGGCTGAACATCCTCAGAATTATGTTGACATGAAACTCCCACATTTCGTGAATTATTTACAATATTATTTTATTTACAACAATTCTTAAAAGAACATTAATTCAGCTTTGCCATTACATCCATCAAAACTAATGGGGCTAAACTTAGTTAAAACTAAACCCTGACACTAACCCTTAATCGTCGCAAATTACTTAATATTTAGAGGGAGAAACATCGATAAAAATATTTAGAGGCCATCAAAACTAAGTCTGGGGCGCTGATGCTCTGGTCTGTTGTTAGGGGAAGCCTGATAAAAAAACCCTCTCCGATGTGTCATCCATAGTCTGTAATAATAAAATATAGCTTGCTCCTTATAAAGCAAATTTTAAAGTGTAGATAGAGACACAGTCAGGTCATATGGTTTTTGTACCTTTCACATATGCAGCCAAGGCTTCTGGCGTGTCCCTGTCAGGATCGATGGTGATGAGGATGGGCGTCAGGTTTGGAAGAGGCTTTATTTTGTCTGCGAAAACCCAAGCCAGAACAAAATGTTTAGTAAAATGAAAACACCGGGTGTTAAAATCCTGTTAAAATCCTGTTAAACCAGGCTTGATTACGTGTTTCATTACCTATTTCATCCACTACTTCAATCATTTTTTCTATTTCATCTGGGCAGATGTCAGGGCAGTGCGTAAACCCAAAATAGATGAGGACCCACTGGCCCAGGAAGTCCTCACTTTTGGTGGGTTTGTTGTTGTGATCAATAAGTGAGAACGGACCGCCCAGCGCCGGTCTGCCTATCGATTTGTTCCTCTCTTTTTCCATCTCTGTAAAGTATGAGAGTTAAACAGTCAGAGATACAAAGGCAGGTCATTATAATTTAGTTTCTCTAGTTCAAAAAGAAATTTTTTAAACTATTTCTTCATTTGTTAAATTGTATCATATATGAGCTTGACCTTAATGTGCACAGTATATTAACCAGTACCCTAATACTCACTTTCTTCTTTTTCTTTCTTGGCATATTTCATCCCTAAAAGCAGAGCGCCTCCGACAGCAAAGGTTATTGCTAAAGATTTCCATGTCACTGGCTTTAAAGAGAAGACAATGAGAAAACAAAATCCAGAATTACCCAGATATTTCTATATGTCTGCCTAAAACTACTTTATAGTGTGCTTAAAATGTTTATTCACAGTTTTTATGATGCTTGTAAATGCTAAAAATAGGAGGTTACCCATTATAATCACAAATTGTGAAGTGGGCCATGTTTCATCACATTATTTCATTAGTTCTGTGATTAAAGGATGAATTTTTGTCTCCTAAAACTCTTGTTTAGAAAGCAATGGCAACATTTAAAGTTATATTTTCCTTCCCATACACTCCTAAATGAACATACTGCTAATTCTATCAGTTAGTGTAATTAAGTGTAATGGAATACAAAAAAACCAGTGCATTTACCTTGACTAAACAGTTACTGAGAAGTATTTATTAGGTGCTACTTTTCAGTTTTGTCAAAGCCAAAGTGTTTTCTAAATGTACGTCGCCTACATCTTACCCCCATACACCCTCATCTGGAGCAAACTGGGGTTTGTTTTTTTGCTCAAAGACACCTTGAAAAGACAATGACAGAAAAAGGTACCAGCTCTACAGTCCTACAAATAATGGCTAACTGGCTCAAATTAGAGCATTTACTGCCAACAAGAAACACTCATCTTCTCTAGATGCTCTGTCATCTCTCCTAGAGTTGGTTGTTAAAAGGCTGCTGACTTTTAGAAACTCATATGAAGTAAACTCTTGGAAATGGCTTATAATGTGAGAGTACCAAAGGCATTTACTGCATCTGCAACATAAAGAGTTGCTGCATCATGACAAATATTGCCTCTGATTTTTTGTACAGACAAGTGAATACTCTTTATTACAGCCTTAAAGCCAAACTGGCTATTAGTTAGTTAATTAGGATTTTATTTGAGTGAAGTCATGTCAAACAGGGAGGCCGCAACCAAAACAGCTACTCACCCCAGCCTTCTTCGGCTTAGCGCCTGATGGAGGTACTGAGGAAAATGTTCTGGAGCTATGTCGACTCAGCCATTGTGTTCTGCAGGTGTACCACTGACTCACATTCACCTGTCAATGAGCCAAAAGTGGTTAAAGCCACACATCACAATATCTAGACCTTAGTGTCTACAAAGACATTCTGCCAAATTCCATTCAGACATTTGCCAATTTAAGGTGGTAAGGTGAGGTGGGCTAGCTGAATACCTGTAGATCTCTACTGAGTGACTAAACACTTCTTAAAAGACAGACAGTGATTATGGCTTTTATTTCAGTGTTTAACTGTCAGAAATGTTACATATGAAAACGTGAGTGCCATAAAGATGCAGAACTTTCAGACAAAGTTAAACTAAAATTTGTGTTAAATGGTTTTAAGTAGGTTGGGGGAAAGAATTATTATAACTTATGGTAATTTTAATTAATGAGTCATCTGCTTGTAGGTTATTAGCATATGTAATTAGTCAATAGTCTAGTAAATATCAAAAACAGTCAAAAAAATGTTCATAACAACTTCCCAGGTTACAAAATGACATCTTTTGACTAACCAACAGTCCAAAACCCAAAGATATTCAATCTTCAATAAAATGACAAAAAAAAGACCCTAATTTTTTGAGGCAGAAGCGAAAAGGTTGGACTTTTTTTATTATCCGATTTTCAGTTATTAGCAGAAAGCAATGCCAGCTATTTTATCATTTCAGTATTATTTCAAAAGCCCTTATAAGAAATACATTTAGTCCATACAAAGACGACAAAAATACAATGTGGCACAGGAAACACAAAAGAGTGGTGTTCAGATAAATCCCAACTGCAATTAGTGTTGTATTGCGAGATGCGCTGATATTTTGATGAAGTATGACGATAATAAACTATGAAAGCCAAATTGTAGCTAGGAAGTTGGGCTGTGAAACTGGCAGCGGCAACGTCACGCCAAATTACCACAACTCTTAATGGAGGGTAGTGTTAAAGGTGATCACAATGGCTAACGCTAGCTTTGACCTACCAGGTAGCAGGGAACTCTCCGGAGTAACAGCGTTTGTTTTTGTCCAGTTTCTCTCCTTAAAACATTGTGTGCAAGTCTCACAGCTTGGGTCTGAACACATTTTTGTAAGACTTTGGCGTTAGCATGAAACAACCGATGATATAAAACACTCTGAAGCATGATAGCACCTTAACAGATGTCCCCACTGACACAAGGAAGCGGTTACAAATTCACATAACGTGAAGAATGAAAGGAAATACGGCGTTCAAAAGCTGTTCCAGAGTCAGTTATACACATCCCTAACAGGTTTAAAACGCCATTTCGAAACTTAATAAACCTCCCCCAGATCAGCATCCAAACAGCTGTTTTTCAATACAGGAAATACGCATTTACATCTTCTTCTATGATCCGCTAAGTCCCTGTGCTCTCTGCTGCCATCTGGAGGCTGGAAACTCTAACAAGTAACTTTTATGATTCACTCTTTTTATGATATTTTATTGATTCTGACAAACAATGAGGGAAAACCACTCAGTTCCAGAGGTAATTCATATTTTGTAGTTTTCCACACAAATTAAGTTTCCATTATTACACTCCTAACTACTGGCACAATATAAATCAATATTCATTTTATTCACTGAGGAGAATGTAAAGATATGGTCAGAACATATACCCTGGCATCATAAATAAATGTATGTCACTTACCAGATGTACTCAACTGTTCAACACTAGAAAACAGAGGAGGAAAAAAATACACAAACTCACTGGTTTCTAATCCAAATCTACTCCTAATCATTACTTCCAACCATTACTTCCTAAAATTGTTCAGTGCTCATACACAATACCAAAGACCAACAGCAGCTACAGCATCTATTTTCAGCTCATATAAAACATTTACCCCATTTAAAAGTATATTATTCTAATTTATCTCTCATTCTGTAAAATATCTGCTCATATACAGACACCATGCCATGCCCTCTATACGAGTCCTGAGACAATTGGACCCTGTTGTCACTATTATATTTGCTAATATTTAGGCAGTGCACTTCATTTAAAAGAGACACATAAAAGTAAACACAAAAATCAACATACTGTAATTTATTAACTCTTCATTTTTACAAGTCCAAGACTACACATTTAATTGAACTTCAAGGAAAAAGACTGAGTTTGTAATACTTGTGCAATACAATTTGTGGGTAAACACTGGATGGAAAATACATTTTAAATGCTTCTTAGCTGTCGTATGTTTGTATTCAGTGAAATTACAGTGTTGCTGCATTCTTGGCCCAGGATTTTCTGTCAAAGCATGCAACAATAGGAATGATTAATCAGCCAAAAAAGGCAACAAGTGGATATCTAAATAGCAGTTTTACAATGTGAAGGCCAGTTCTCTCTCAGTTCCTTGTTGATGTAGTAGTAAAGCCAGACCACAAATGGGAAGAATGTGATGGCAACAGCTGTTGAGACTCTCAGCATCCCGACAGGAGCTCTGCAGAAGGAGAAGAGTGGGATGGCATCAGTCTTTCACGCACAACATAATCTTTAAAAATGAAAATTATGAGAATCCAGATAAATCATTGCTTACTTTACCTTCCAGAGTGGCGACACAGGAGGAGCCAAACAACTGTCAACAGGAGACCAGAAAACTCTCTAAAGAGAAGGGAAATGTTAAAAGCTAATCATTGTTTTTTTACATAATCGTTTCTTACAAATTCATGAACTGATTTTGTCCAGATTATCCAGCAGCTCCAGTAGTTCATTACAATGTTACATATTCTACAACTCTTTCAAGTAAATAGTTCATCTGTAAAATGTATGTACCTGCCCTCCTCCTGTTGGAAGATCTGTGTGACCCGCTCTTTATAAAGTGTCCACCCCAACATGGCAATAAAAGCACTGGAAATCATCACATGTAGATCAGCAACTCGCCTCCAGGGCAAACTCTCTGCAATAAAAAAAAAACTCACAAATGTACAAATAAGTTTGCTTTGCAGATTCTCACTCTGTTGATGAGCTTCACTGAGCGGCACAATCATGATACAGCCACTTGATGGCGCTTTCATTATGGGAAAAGGCACTTGGGCATAGTCTTGGGAAGTTATGAAAACAGGAAAATGCTAACTGTCAATGTCACATGCAAGGAAACTCAGAAACTCTCCCGGTTCACGATCATGTGTGAAAGTAAACCTAGTTACAGGTCTATGCTTACAGTATATTTGTATGTTACTTTAGGCTGTTTCTTTACAACACATCTTTGTTGTTGATAGGTACTGCATCTAATAAAATACACACACACACACACACACACAGAAAAATGCCCACCACAGATCTCTCTACCTGTAAAATGGGGTTTCAAGCCAATCAGTGCACATAGGACTGCAGGGACACCATAACCAACCTGCAACAGAGAGATGGTGTTAAAAATATAGCAGATAAAATAATAATAATAATAATAATACGTTAGTAACATGAGGTATGGTTGTAATCTTACCATCCATAACCCTGCGTCGGGATCATTGATCTGACAATAAATTAATAGATGAAAATACAGCGTAATCTTTATTTATTGATTACGAATAACAAGAATGCGAAAAGATGTAGGCTCTAACCTAATTAAAACACTCACCTGCACATATGTTGCAAGAGCGAAGAATAAAGACATTAAAACGTTGCAGACTTGCCAAATAACAAAGAGCCATGATTTAGTAATTTTATCCTTACAAACTTCTCCCATTGTTGTTTATAACCTTTCACTTCCCCGCTCACACGTACAGGACGTAAAGACGTCACAGAGCAGACGCACTGACCCTCGTCCTTCCAGTCCGATTAAACAGTGAGGGTATGTTTGATATTCACTACGCCAGCCTTACGGTCATGCTTGCGGTGCACTGACGTATTTGGATATGAACTACAAATGACAGTTTAATGTCATTATGACCCAGGCGCGCTATAGGCTACAAAAGGCCACAAGTTCGTTTTCACTTGGTTCAGGCCCGCAGATCATCATTACAGGCGGATGTTCAATTAGCCTATTTTTGTAATTTGTGGTGCCATAAATTGCCATGCAGTTCTATGATTGCAATACTTTATTCTTTTATATGTTATCTAATAGTGAGCAGAAGGTGGTGGAAAGACCCTATCTTAGTAATGAACTACAGGGTATCAATAATCGTTTTAGTATGTGTCATGGCTGCCCTGTACAACAAAACGATCACACGTCCCACAAGACCGTCAAGTCAACCAAAATAATAATAAAAAAATACTACATCCGATGCTTCCTTACAAAATAAAATTATTAAAGGCTGAAGGATACATTTAGGAAGTATAAATTATGGATTGTTACTAAAAGGGTTATCAGGCAATCAATATGAATGAATTTTAAATAATTTTTTGTCTGAAAATTAGTTTGTAGATATTATATTAGTTGCTCATTTGTTATGACTATGAACCATTAAATAAAAAATGATTTTTTTTGCTCATCTTTAACTTATAATCTTAATGCCCTGTTTTCTGCAGTGCCTTTGTGCAATAATATAGTTTGATACATTTATAAATTCGTTTATACATAGCCTACATTTTTCATATTCCTAGACGAATGCAGGCAATGCTTTGACAAATTACCACAAAGCAAGAAATTATGGTTGGTTGGAGGTCAGGGCAAAACTTTATGACATGTTCATTTGTTTTTATGGGAGGGCGTTGTGTTAAAATTTAGTTGTCTTAAGTTTATTTTGGCATCATTTGTTTTACAGTTATGTTTGATTAAATTTCTTCAATTTTGTGTCGAATAAAAACATACAGACATACAAAAAGCTGCAACCAAAAATGGTTTACAGCAGGGATTTTCAACTAGTGGTCTACCGTCCCCTGGTGGTTAGTGTAGGCATTGCAGATGATCCCCGACTGTGCTTTCAGTAATGTAGCTGCACTACAGGAATAAACAAAGTTTTTTCCATGTGTTACTTGCTTGCGATCATTCAAATATATATTTAACATTTAAAAAAAGCTAAGATGACTTTCAGATATAAAATAATACACATATCTTGTAACCACCCCATAATATGGTCCTTGGGTTACTTCTTAGTCAGAATAGTGATCCCTGGGTCACAATTATTTGAAGACACCTGGTTTACAATATCACCATGTCTAACGGTAAATTGTTTTAATAACCATTTGATATATCATTATTTCACGAATCCCTGCTTTTGTTGTAAGAGCACCAGGCATAAGATGTTTAATTAATTTTTGTAGAGAGCTGGTAAAGTGACAAACCTTCACATTTGAGAGATACATTTGCTTAATCAGTTATCAAAATGGTTGCCAATTAATTTTTTGTCAATCACTAATAGGTTTATAAAGTTTTTTTTTTTTTATTAAACCATTCATTATGTACTGATTGGGTTCAGAGTGTTTCGAGAAATAATGAAACTGCTGTGTATAGTGAGAGTCAGCAGGGGCCCAGTAACAAATTACCCCCACCCCCACAAAATACCCTCAGGTTAACACGGCCATACAAATGTCTCTCTAATCTGTGTGATTTTAGGAAACATTTTCCTGTATTATTTTGAAACAAACTTCCGGTCTGCTCTTGGCTAACTGTCGCTGTGGGTGTTGACATGCCAGTGTCACTCGGTCAGCTGATTGCGGTTCGTAAAGCTCTTTGGCCAGCCAGTTTAGTTAGCTTAGCCTAGCTGGAATTCTGTTTTTGTTAACGTTAATACACAAGTAGCCTCTAACCTGGCACAAAAGTAAAAAAGAAACCTCAGTAATTTAACGTATTTTAAAGTAGGTACTGTACAGACGCTCTCCGCTTGTTTTACGGGGTGAACTTGGGGTTAGTCAGGCAGTATTTGTTGTGGCTGGGGGGAAAGGCTGAAGTTGCTCTCCGTGCCTGTGCATTGCAGCCCGGCGCTGCTGCTGGAATTCAAACACACAATGGCGACTCCCAGTCCTAACAACACAACAACACCTAGCAGTCACAACAGCAGCCATAACGCAGGATCTTCAACGCATCACCATCAGCAGTCCCAGTCTCAGCACATTACGACCATGAGCAGCATGCAGGGTAAGTGCTGGTAGCCGGGAGCTCCCATTCTGCTGCAGTGAAGGTTAATGTTAGCAGGGCTAGCCGTGGCAGGCTGAGGCTACACCCAGGACTGAGAAATGTTCCCAAGGGAACAGACCAGTATCTTTCACAAGGGGAACTTGCTGATTGTTAGTTGCCCGACCTCATCAATTAGAAAAAGAATTATTGTCTTACACCTTTCATAATGCATCTAATGCCCTTGTTACCAGTTTGACATTTTGTTGCCTCGCTACATCCTGTCCTTTCTTGCCTGATGAGAATCTCGCCAGACTCCCTATCCAGAAATTGGCCATTTTAATTCGCAGTCACATGTTATAGAAGCCAATAAAAGAGTCTTTCTTTGTGAAATATTATAAGCCACAAATGTAAACTATTCCACATAGATTTAAGGAGTGTCATCACATACTTGAATTTGACACTTAGAGTGTGTCTGTTAATTCTCTATTAGGCTTAATCTTACAAATACAGTACTTTGCACTTTCTGTGTAGTGAGAGCTATGTTAGTGTTAAATATGCCGAATGTATGAAAACAGTCTCAAGTGAGAAATGATCAGAAGCCATGTTACATTATGTACACTAGTTGGCAGTGTGCAAAACCACACTGAATTGCAACATTTTGAGATCTGGTGGGTTTCCAGGCATTCTCTACAACGTTATTGCCTGTCTGTGATGTTACAGCGTGCACAGCGTGAGCTCAGTGGATCCTGAAGCTGCTCCGTCCTTTTGACATCTTGTCAGCAGAAACATCGAAACCAGTGTCTTCATTCACCACACCACTAAACCAAATGCTCATCACAATTCTGTATTTTTGTACAAACACTTTCTCATTTTAACTTTCAGAGTCCAACACCTGCTGGAGATGTCAGAGTGAAACAGGTAGCTACACACTTCATTGACTTAGCAGATAAGCAGCTAATTAGAAATCCATTTACAGATTTCATTGTAAATACAAGATGACAAGTTAAATGCTTTGATATATTAGATTTTATATTCATTAGTATCTGACCTTTAGCTTTGTTGTGTAATCCTGTTTTCATTCACCGTACCCTGATTATATTTCACCTTTTTTTTTAAAATGCTGCTAACTAATGATTCCCACCTCCTGACATGATGCTGAATGATGGTGAGCTGCCTGAAGAAAAACTGTTTATTAAACTGTGATGTATTTTCATTGCAAATCCCTTTTATGGTGCTAATTCATACACACTTAGCTCCCCTTTTTTGTTTTACCTGCAGGTCATTTTGCCTTTATGATTTGCCGTTATGCTAGTTGTCATAGCCGTTTCATAAGTGTGTGTGCATGCTGATGCATTACCCTCCACAAAATGCATTTAATGATGCATTGAGATGCTCCACTATGATAACTCAGCAAAGCAAGGCCAATTTCTGTGATTGTCAACCCTGAAACTGCAGGATTCCTTTTAGCTCTGGGTTTGTTAGATGAAACTGACACCTCTTTATTTCAGGAAGAGGTGATTTTACAGCCTTTTATGCAAGGGAGACTGACAATCTGGCAAACTGAAGGTGAAATATGAAGAAAATAAAAGATGTCTTCTCACCTCTAGGGTTTCAGATAAACCTGTCTGGAGCACCCCCAAGTAAGCCGAATTTATTTTGTTTCAGCAACAACAGTTCTCACCCCTTTGTTTCCACCTGATTGTGTGGTATGGGGGAGTCTGTCCTGCTGTTCTCAACTAATCCAAGTCAGCACTACTGATGGGTTCTAATAGGCTTGTGCCGGTATCTGTTAGACCAGTCCTTAACGTGTCTAGCTCATATAACATTGCAATAGAGCTGCAGCTTGTCAGACGTCCGAATTAAAACTCGTTTTCACATAAAATTCCTAATTTAGTTTCTTTGCCACACAAATGGCTTATTATTTTTTAAAAATTAGTAGCACATTGTCAAAAGCAGTTGCAAGTAAGGTGTTCTCATTGGCACAAGCCTAAAATTCAGAGCTTGATGGGGCACATTGTGACACCTCTCCCAACTAAAGACAGGACTGTTTTCCCAATTAAACACTGTAGTGGAAGTTCTGCCTGACTGTTTTTGTGTGCAACTAACAAGCAAAAGTAGTGCCTGTGGTGTTGTCACAATGGCTTGTCCTTTTTTTTTTTTTTTTTTTTTTTTGCTGTGGTGCACTTTAGCATAGCACTTGCTTGTCGAGACAAGGTGCACACTTATTTCAAGCATTGGTTTCCATTGAATCCTAATGGTATATGAGCATGCACATTCTTGTGGTTAGAATGGGTGGAGTGAGCAGGGAACACCGTCCTGTGATTCACAGTGAAATCTAAGCAGTTGGCCTTGAGAAGCATGTCTTCATCAACGACTTCTATCAGTGTTTTATTTTCCCCATTTTATGTTTTGCTGGGATGGGTTTGTGTGTCTGCATTGTGAATGTAGGTATTTGAGGTTTTAGTAGCATGCTGCGTTTCTGAAAGATTTAGGTGTAAATGACTATAAGAAAGTGGTAACACAAGGGCTGGGCAATATGACTATATGTACACTGGTAGGAATCGTCCCACCTGGCAGTTTATTAGATAAAATGTATTTCTGTTATTTTGTATATCAAATTTTAATCAATGAGGCTAAATAACAGGAGCTGCTCTCTGCATACTGCAGTATAATTCAGCAGCAGCAGCACAAAGTACAGCCCTAAACCGATCCTACAGTTGAAATAACGACTCTCTGAAATGGTTTCAACAAAAACATTATCGCCTTCATGAAGGAGAGATTATTGCAGGACTGTTGGATATGTAAATTATTTTTCAGAAACTGTAATATGTCATGATATACTGCAATATAGGATCATCCACTCTCAGTGTAAGGAAAGTTCAGCACCATCAAGTATACCATTAATGCTATTATAAGCTTGAAAAGGTAGAACATGTGGCAGAGCTGTTTTACTGGATAGCATTAGGTTGCATGGGTATACCCAGTAAAGGTATAATTAAAGCAGAACTTTAACTTGTATACCTACCTGGCCATTGGTTTGCAAATAAGGCTGCTTTTAAAAGCTGAACAGCAGACATTAGTTCTTGAAATGATAGACAACGTAAAGAACAAAGGCAATATACTGTATTTAAGTATAAGACTTTTTCTCACTGTCAACAAATGACTTGCCAACCCTGTTGGTGGCTCTCAGCCTCGAGCTCATTGGTTACTGCTGAAAATGAAAAAAAAAAAATGCTCTGAAATATGTAGTTTGATTGTTTTAAAAAGATCCATTATTTCCTAAAACAGCTCGTCACTGTAGCCTTTAGCAAATGTTCCACAAACAGCAGGAAATAGTACATTTGCTTGGGACTATTTTCAGCAGTGGATTAGTTCACATTTGATCATCTAGTGAGTCTTTTTGGCAGCAGGACTGTGTTTGAGGGAGTGCGTCAAAATAAACGCCAATCTGTGTGTTCATGGTTCTATGGAAAGCATGACATCTGTGGATTTGGGTGAAGTTGGAATAAAAGTACGCCTCCTCATTCCTCCTCTTATCTCATTTTATGTTTTGCATCGTTTTTACTCATCATTCTGACCTTTCATGCGGGATGAGTTTGCTTTTGGTCCTGCTCAATCCTCAACATTTGTTGCTTCATTTAAAAATCTCATCAAGTTATGCTTTCTGTACTTGTTCAGGTAAACGCAAAGCCCTGAAGCTGAACTTTGCCAATCCGCCAATCAAACCCACGGCTAGATTCACACTGAACACAGCGGGGCAGCCCTTTCAAAACCCGCACATGTGAGTAAACCCCAGAGCTTGTGTCAATTGTCCCACAAGAAATTCAGCAATAGCATGTTCAGGCATGGTATATTTGCATTTTCTTGGATTTTTTTTTGTAAGTGTTTCAGTTTTTCTTTACTCATGCTGTAAACCTCTGGTTTTCATTAGAGAGAGGCTGAGAACACACAGCATTGAGTCGTCAGGAAAGTTGAAGATCTCCCCGGAACAGCACTGGGACTTCACGGCCGAGGATCTCAAAGATTTGGGCGAGATCGGCCGCGGGGCTTACGGCTCTGTCAACAAGATGGTGCACAAGCCAAGTAACCAGATCATGGCAGTCAAGGTGTTCATTTACATGTCTTTGTCTGGACTAGTGAGGAACATGGGAACAGATGAAGAGATGCAGACTAAAATATTTCTGTTATTAAAATGAAATTTAGAACAGTCAGATTGTGCAGCTTTCTTATATGTTACTGTATATTCACTCTGACTTTTATATTGTCATCGTTTCTGCGATTACATTGTATATTGTGTTTTTATTGCAGAGAATTCGCTCAACGGTTGATGAAAAGGAACAGAAGCAGCTGCTGATGGATTTGGATGTGGTCATGAGAAGTAGTGATTGTCCTTACATTGTCCAGTTTTATGGTGCTCTGTTCAGAGAGGTGAAATGAAATTGCATTTAATAACTATTTATTGTCAGTATTTGAATTTTTTTTCATTTCTAAGATAATCTAAATGTTTTATTTTGAAGTCTTGTGTTGTACAGTAGCTGCTACAAATGGCTGAATTTCTTATGTTTCAGGGAGACTGTTGGATTTGTATGGAACTTATGGCTACCTCCTTAGACAAATTTTACAAGTTTGTATATTGCTCATTAGACGACGTGATTCCAGAAGAAATATTAGGAAAAATAACATTAGCTGTAAGTTTTTGTAATTGCATCCTTCTTCAGAAATAGAGCAGCCAACCTTTCGACTTCTGCTACTAAACATTTTTTTTGTGTTTTGCAGACTGTGAAAGCACTTAACCACTTAAAAGAAAACTTGAAAATAATACACAGAGGTACAACGATACCAGATGCTTTTCTAATCTCACTTTTCTAATGTTGTGCCTTCAGGCGTGTTTTCATCACCTGCGTCTTTTGTCTCTCCCTCAGACATTAAGCCGTCAAACATCCTCCTGGACAGGAATGGTAACATTAAGCTGTGTGACTTTGGCATCAGTGGTCAGCTGGTGGACTCCATTGCCAAAACCAGAGATGCAGGGTGCAGACCATACATGGCAGTAAGTTGCGCTGTGCTTTCTCAGCTGTGGGGCTCAGTCACATCTTAAAGAACTTGTACCATGAAGGAACACTGCAGAGATTTAATCACCTGAGCACAACATGCATGGGTCTCCAAAATAAAATCGGATGTTCCTGCCTGACTGTTTCAGAAGGTTACAGACAAAAGTACTGCTCTTTGTATCCCATAATTCATTGCAATCGGATGCGAATATGAATCAGGGCAGGTGTCTGACTCATCTGTTGGCACAGAACATATCTTGTCCATAAGAAGTATGATGCATCAGTACAGCTGGTGGGGATGGTGCTGGGAAATGTGAATCATCAAGATATGATTGACCTTAATAGGTATAATAGATGCTGTAATGTACTAATAGGAATAGCTTTTTTTTTTTTTTTTGGCTGTAAATTTTTATTTTGGCCTTCGTAAGGGAAATGTCTTATGAGGCCTTAGTGTGTGTGTGTGTGTGTGTGTGTGTTGACCATTTGACTGAGTTTTGAAAAGCAAAACATTCAGTGCTTGATCAGAAACCCTGTCAACAACCTGCAGATACTGGACTGTGTTGTGGAGCAGGAATAATCATATTACTCATTGACAGATGTGTATCGCATAGAAAAATAACAGTGACAATTTGAAAACATCACCCAGCAGAGATGAATAATAAGATTTTTGTCACATCTAACATCTCTAGTAGTCAGGGCTACAACTATTATTTAAGCAAATGATTAATTAAAGGAGCAGTTTTCTACTTTTCCTTCATATAGTTTGGATACTTGAGGCAGGTTTTAAAAAACAAGTGGTCAAAATCAAGATATCCTGAGTTTAAGCTCCGGGTATGAAACACTTTATATTTTAGGAAGCTACTCAGGAGACACAGGAGACATTATACAACTGTTACATGTTGAATATAGAGATGCCGTAGTGATGATGTATTTTTGTAGGCCAACCCAGAAGTTAGCATCAGCCTGGTTCCCTCGACAAAAACCCAGTGGGATTTTTTCATAAGCTCTTATTGTGAAAAATAAGCTCTATGACAAACAATGGGACATTTACATTTTGTTCAGCAAGATGAACTTCACAAGTGAACACCACATTTATGATAAACCTCTATTGATCCTCAGTGTGACCATGTTTTTGGTGAGTTGCCACTGTGTGCATGTGACGTATTTGCACCGAGCTGTTGGCTGTTCAGAAAGGTGATCTTATGGTGTCGTTGTTACGCAAGGTTATTTTCTGTCACGGAGTTGCGTCTCCTGAGGGCATTTTGACCCTCTTCCTCCCCCCCAGCCTCTCTGCTTCCTCCGCAGCAGTTTCCATTCTAAATTTGGTTAGGCACTATCGGGACCCAGCGGCACATCAACACTACCACACTCTCTCTGCCCTCTGAAAGGCCAAGGCAGGGTGCTTCATTCATGACTTGGTCTGAACGAAGTCACCTGGGAGCTTCCCGTGGCTGTGACCACAGAGTGTTGGAATCTCAGCTCCAGTTTCGTGTTTCCCACTGGCACGCTCAGCAGGTGTTTGATCACCAAGCTCCTAGTGGCTGCAGGCTTAATGACAGAGAAATGACCTCAGTACAGCTGGGGAACATGACTGAATTTTTGAAAACCAGGAGTGTTCACAAATATTTGTGTGTGCTTCATTAGGCTTTATTTTCCAAAAAGTAAAAAAAAACACCATGAAATTTGAAAGATTTAGACTTTGTTTTGGTGGACGTAATAACTTATCCACCATTTAATCCACAGTGTCATTTTATTTCTGTGAAATGTCATAAAATGAAGAGAAATACTCACTGGAGGTTTCCAGAGCACAAAGTGTCACCTTTTAGTTGCTTTATTTTTGTAACAGGAATTAAAAAGTCCAGAGAGATCCAATTAATAATGAGAGGGGAGAAGGTGGAACTAACAAATATTCAGTGACTAATAGATAATTAACATTGTTGTCTAATTGACTCCCTACTGATGCTGTTTATATTTGAAACAATTTAAATGCTACGACTGTAGAGACCAGAGCACTTCTAGTCTTGGCAGATGTGAGCGGCTCTCTGCAGTAGCCAGCTGCTGTTCCATAAAACCCATCAGTGCTGCAGCACAGACTGTCCCACTCTGCCGGGTGATGGCAGCATCTAATTCAGAACTGTAAATGGGCCAACACTTCCCTCCTCTCAGTGCAGCAACAGATTTCTGCAGTCTTCTGACACATTTCATTGTCACGTTTGCTCTGTGGTTTGTGACCTGAAAAGAAGCTTGTAAATGACGGAGCTGGTGCATGTGGGCTTGCGAGGCATGTGGAGCCTCACTGCTGCAGTCCTGAAAGGCCGGAGCGAGGGAACGTGCTACTTACGTGTGCGCTCCAGAAACTGGTGGCATCTTGTAGTGCAGGTGGAAACATGCCCAGAGGTGGTGAGCTGGATTGGTATTCTCATGGGCGAGTTTGTCTTCTGTAGCAGTGGATTTGTTTTGGCCCAGTTTGGGCATGAACACCTGTTTCTTTATGATGATCTAGTCAAGAGAGGCACAAAAACCTTTTTAGGCACCTCATGAACTTGGCCTTCAGACAGTTTTTACATTGTAAAACTCAAATTAAAATCCAATTCTTGATAAGTTCTTTACATGCAGTTTTGTACTTTGCAAGTGTGTGAGTTTCCCGTCAGTGGCCAGGTGAACCCTTTTGAAGCTTTGGGGTTTTAAACTCAACAAGTAAAGTGACATCTGGTTGTTGGCAAGACTTACTGCAGCCCATGCACTATCATCTGGGTGATATAATTTCTTTGTTGTGTAGATTTCTCAGTGCTTCTCCTGAAGTTTCCACAAATAACACAATTCTAAATAAGTAATAGGGTGATTCAAAATTACATCTATCCTTTTCAAATGGCTATAAGACAGGCTTTTTATCTGGGTTGCTCATACTTGGAATTAGATCTTAAATTTAGGGAAAGGTGTTTTTATTTAACCTTTGTGCATTTTATGGTGTTTGCTCTTGTTTCTGAACCTAAATTTGAATCATTTTCCTGTTTAACTTTCAGCCTGAGCGAATTGACCCCAGTGCATCCAGGCAGGGCTATGATGTCCGCTCAGATGTTTGGAGTTTGGGAATCACATTGGTGAGTCTTAATAATGTCTGAACTCGTGGTAAAAAGACAAATAAATAAATTAATTTAAAAAAAATCTATTTGAGCCTCAAATGCTCAGATATAGATCTTATCACATCTGAAGAAATGATTCAGTTATATAGATTTAAATCAATTTAAAAGACTGGATTATCTGAAGGGCAGTCCTAGATATTTAGTGTTGATGCTTGAATTAACTTACATTTACATTATATACAGTTTTAGTTGGTTGAAATGTTATATAAATATGACAATTACATTTTACAATAGCATGTCTCCCAGGAGGTTAATTTATAATTAAATTTTTTAGGATGTTAGTGGAAGTGGGCTTTATTTAGGGTCAGGTATAAAACTCGGCAGAATTCCTGTATTTCTACATATTCATTTCCTCAAGGGTTTCACACCTCATTTGTAGTTTTACAACAGTTTGGGCCTAGTCTGGTGCTGTTCTTCAAATGTGGCTTAAACAATTCAGGCTGACACACTGTTTTCAGGCCAGAATATTCCAGTTACAGTACTTCATATCCAGATAAGTGGGTTCTTTGAGGAATGATTTTTTTTTTTTTTAATCCCAGATCAAATTATCTTGTATTTGCATTTAAAATAAAGACTAAATGAGTACTGTACTAACATATAATTATATTTATATGTATCTAATGTGTTACAGTATGAGCTGGCCACAGGACGGTTTCCCTACCCAAAGTGGAACAGTGTGTTTGACCAGTTGACCCAGGTGGTGAGAGGAGACCCCCCACAACTGAGCAACTCGGAGGAGAGGCGCTTCTCTCCCAAATTCATCACCTTTGTCAATGTGTGGTGAGGAAATACTGCTGAGAATGAATTTTGCGGCATTATGCCACAGTTGTAAAAATGGAACAAGACTGTTTTGAATTTCTAAAATGATTCAGTGTCAGGAAATTGGCTCTACGTGAGGTTTTCTGTTGTCATGAGATAGACTCCAGCCCCACGAAAACGAATGGCTAAACTGCAACCTTCATTTTGTTAACATTTTTCTTTATCTTTTCTTCAAGCCTTACAAAGGATGAGTCAAAAAGGCCAAAGTACAAAGAGCTACTGGTGAGTTCATTTTAAGTCAGCATGAAGAATACTACCTGCTCTGTATAAATACACTCCACAAAATGCCAAATGAAGGCTTTAAAATGTGTTGAACTTTTTATAGGAATTTTTTTTTTTTTACATGAGATGACAGTTTTTGTACATTCTGCTTTTCTTTCCAGAAAGACCCGTTCATTCAGATGTACGAGGAGCGCTCGGTCGACGTAGCTGGTTATGTCTGCAGGATCCTGGATCAGATGCCAGCTTCCCCAGGTTCTCCTATGTATATGGACTGATAGCAGAACAAAAACAAAAATACGTCAATAAATATACACCATTCTGCAACAATAAAGCCATTTTTAAAAAAGACAGCAAAGTAAACAAAACAAATCCTTGTGTAAATTTGCTTGGTCCCCTTATTGCAGTGTTAAAAAAGAGTTGTAAAGGCTAAAAGAAACACCGTTTGCATTAAAAGTGGTGTTCATTTCAGTCATGTCTGTATAATATATTAACACACTTTTGTTTCTCTCATTCACAAGCACAGACGCACAGTCACTTAAGTATAATAGCAGCTGAATCAGTCAATTGTGGTTTTGACTCATCTGGATGAGAATGCATCTCAGTGATTAGTAACAGTGATTTAAAGGGAAAAAAACAGAATAACCTGGAACTTGTATTTATAGAACCAAAATCATGTGGAGTTTCTCCAGTATACTGGAATCATGCTCATTGTAAATTGTCTCACCTTTTCCATGTACGTGAATGAAAGCGTTATGTTCGGTATCTTATCTGGGTGTAAAGCAGTTAAAATGTTCAGGTGTTGGTCAGAAACATGTTAGACCTGCAGTCTAGTCCGTGCTCAGTGTGCAATGGACTATATGCTGATACATCAATAAAGAAAGGGAAAGGGAAATGGTGTTGTGTGTCTTGTTTTCTGAGTAGGTTGAACTTAAATAAAATTTTGTATCTGTGTATTTTGAATCCAAATATTGCTTTGATACTGTATGTGGCCAGATGTAAATCTGTGCGAGTACAACATAAGTGCACGCTTGTAATTCCACCTGGAACCAGGTGACCTTTAAATGGTAAAATGGTAAATGGACTGTATTTATATAGCGCTTTCTCACAGTGTGTTACACTGGCCAAAGCGCTTTACAGGAGATCATACACCATTCACCCATTCGCACATCTGAATATAATACAGCCTAGTACAGCAACACATTTTAAGTATTTATCAATAATGAGTTTTATATATTTCTTGATAGTTTCATCATAAGCTGATAGCAAAATATGCTCAAATAAACAAGTAGTGTCAGGCAGAAATATTAGCTAATATAGTTACTATTTATTGCAAATTGTTTTAACAATAAAAACTTAGTCTTGCTGTATGCTAACATTATATACTCTCTCAGTTTCCTATGTTGTTTTGTGTTATTTGATAGTTAAGGTGTTTAAAAGAGCTGAACATGTATAATATTAGTTGTTGTATTGGGCGTTTTATTTTGTAGGACCTTGTTTATGTCAGGAGTAGTTCTATTCCTACTCACTGATTGGTCCATAGACCTGTTACTGGCACCAATGACCGATAACATAAGGAAACGTCATCATTATACGCCGGAAAAAGTGTGACATGTGTCAACAAACCTTTATTCACCATTAGGAAAAGGTTAACAAAAACGTGAGATGTGTGGTCCAGAATTACTAGTGTCTTTATGTGTGGCGTTATGATTGGCCCAGTTATTTTAATTATTGGGTTTAAGTATATATTATGAATACTGTTCGTCGGAAGCTTGGGGCCTTTACGTTGCTGTTTGCGAAAGGCAGAGGTCTCTCTGCTGCTCATCCGACCTTCGCACACTGGGATTCAGGTTTCCACCGGAACATTTTCCAGTATTTGCGGACAATGGCTACTATTGCTAATGTTAATACGCCGCTGGGTCCGAAGAAAGCCAAACAGAAAGAGCCGCTGCGGAGAGTGAAATTCAAAGAGAACAGGAGTAAACAAGGAAATGCTCACTCACCATCCACCGTGTACCTGCAGGTGGTCGGTGCTGGCAGCAGAGATAATACCCCATCACTTTATGTCTTCTCCGAGTACAACAGGTACTTTATACAGACGTGTTCATGCAATTACTGTGAAACCAGGGATGTGTAATTCTCTTAAAAAGACACTTTCACATGTCGCTCATTAGAGGTAAGGTACCAACTATAGGTTAGATTATAATGTTTTTTCAGAGTCAAAAGTAATTTAAAAAGTAAGGAGGTATATATACTTCACTACTGTACTTAGGTACAATTTTGGTGTGTTTTACTTGATTATTTCAGTTTTGTGCTACTATATATTTCAACATTACTTCATTTTAGTGGTGACATTGCACTTTTTTGCTTCACTGCAGCTGACTTTACAAAATATATGAGCTTATGTGAATATGGTACTCTGTACAACCGATAAACAATTCAGGCTGTGCTTGGGGTTATTGTGGTGGACGTTTTTTTTAATTATTTATAAATCAGTTAATGTTGCCGACTACTTTCTTGTAATGATCAATAAATTAATCATCAGATTATAGCCCATTATTAATGACAATAATCGTTAGTTGCACCCCTGTATACAGTACTTAAGAAAGTATTCAAACCCCTTCACTTTTTGCACACTTTATTATGTTGTAGATCTAAGTTAAGTGGCTCAAACTGCCATTTCTTTCTGTCAGTCTTTATTCAGCAACCCATAACAACAAAGAGAAAACTTGTTTTTAGATATTTCTGCAAATTTGTTAAAAGTCAAAAACTGAAATTTCACATTTACACAAGTGTTTACACCCTTTGCTGTGCCAAATCAAACTGTGGTCAGCTGCATGCATTTCCTTTTCCTTTTCCTTGAATTGAATTAGAAAGATTTTTTTTTTTTTTTTTGCAGGACTGCTCCATTAGAGTACTTTATTTTGAGCTGGGTATAACTAATAAACTAGTATCTGACCCATGCACTTAGCCTGCTGTGTGAAAATTGAGCCAAATTCTATACCATATTTTATAAGAAACTACATTAAGAAGTTTATTATAAATTCACCTGAGGCCCAAAATTACTCTACCATAATATTGTCCAACAGTTGCATCAGGCCACACAGCTGTTTATTTACCATCTGTGTATACCAGCCTTTTCAAACCTCCCTATTCTTTGCTGAAGGTACCTGTTCAACTGTGGTGAAGGAACACAGAGACTCATGCAGGAATACAAGTAAGTTAGTTTGTCCAACATAATGTAAATACATTGTCACACACATCGGTCAGTCTGACTGAACAAAGCAACTGAGTTCATATTAATCTGTTTCCCTGTAACAGACTGAAAGCTACTTGCCTGGACAACATCTTCCTGACCAGACTGAGCTGGGAGAATGTTGGCGGTTTATCAGGTCAGTAACATCTGTCTGATAGATTGAGAGATAATCCACATTGTTGAATATGTGGCTCCATGGTAACACAGTGTTTGTATGATCAGTACTGAGCGATCACGGCACTTTTCTTAAAGTAGCTCCTTCAGCAGATTTCTATCATGACAAAAACAAATGCAAGAAAAACTTTTAATAGAATTTGATTAAAAAAATTCTTAGTGACCTACATTGATTGACACATTGGTTAATATTGAATGATGTGATATGTGTTATATTTTCACATATAGTAAAGTCACTACTGTTATTATTTTTACATAGGGCTGTGACTAAAGGACTTTAACTAAACACTTAGCTGTGTGTGCTGTTTTTTGTCCAGGGATGATATTAACCCTGAGGGACATCGGTGTCCCTGAGTGTGTTCTCTCTGGACCTCCACAGCTGGTGAGAAATGCAGTCATACAGTCTGAACACACCTGCAGGAGTGTTTAATATAACATGTAATCACTTTACATTTGCTGTCTTTTCTCTTGTCTGCCTGTTTTTTTTTAATCAAAGGAGAACTATCTGAATGCAATCAAGACATTTTCTGGACCACTGGAAGACATCAAGCTGTGTACGGTGAATTTCCTGAACTGAATGAGATTAATTTTAGCATTATATCAATGTTTATGCGCATTTACTGTGTTGTATGCTCCAGCGGTGCGACCTTACACTGAAGAGACGTACACAGATGATACAATGACAGTTTATCAAGTGCCAATCTTTGGTGAGTATAAATATTCATTTAGATTGTGTCTTGCTTTTTGATATTCACCTGGACTTTTCACTATTCACTTATTGTTTTTGCTTGTTAGCTGACTCTCTTCAGTTGTCTTTGCTCTGGAATAAAATGTATGGACATAGGTGTGACATGTTCAGTAAGTCCTGCAGCCTTGTACACATTTAAAAACTGTGTGTGTGTGTGTGTGCAATATCTTGTAGGCGAAGGACAAACAACAGCACAAGATACATCTTTAGTGGTTGCCTTCATATGCAAGGTAGGAAACTGTAAAGTGATGTCATCCTCTGTGTGACGTACAAACTGAGGACCTTTTTATTTAACGTTATTATTGATTTATGTCAAATTCTTTTGCAGCTTCACCCCAAGAAAGGAAACTTCTTAGTCCTCCAAGCCAAAGAGCTGGGTTTGCCTGTGTAAGTAGATTTTTGCGTTACATAAAACAGCTGTTATTGGTCTCATTAAAGATGATGTGATAGAGTTGGTGTTCATCAAAGTGAGGTTTGATTGCAGTTATTACATTGTTAACTTTCTTTCTGTGCAAACTCTTGAACTCATTTGACTCTGATGCGTCATTTTGATCAGCAGTTGGGCGATTATTGTTAGTTGAACAGTATTAGTTTAATTGTTTATGATCTTATTGTTCTGGATTTCAGTGTGTGAAACACTTAATTTTAAACTTAATTTTATGGGATGTAAATAAAACTTTAATGATATCTATTGTGAAATAAAATCAGTTTAACTTTATTGCATTGGTTTTTGCTTTTATTGTTATTTTACTGTTAATTACTGTGTATATATACTGTTGTTATAGCTCTAATTATTGTAGTAACCATTGTTGTAACCGAAATTATTGAATTCTCTTGGCTATCATTATTGTTGCTTGGTCTATAAAATGTCAGATAATAATGAAAAAAGTCTCCCAAAGCAAAGTGCTGAATTCATGAAGTCACGTTTTGTCCAACCAATATTCCAGAACACAGAGATATTCAGTTCACAGTGATATACAACAGAGAAAAGTGGCATAACCATGTATTAGAGAACCTGAAACCAGAACAGATTTGATTTCTTTGATTGATAAATGACTTAAGCGGTCATAGGAGTAGATTAATGTGCTATTTTGATTTTCAATTTTTGCATATAATGCTGTAATGATGAAACCTTTTCTTACTGCAGGGGCACTGCAGCAATCGGTCCACTCATTGCAGCTCTGAAGAATGGAAAAAGCATCACGTACGAAGGAAAAGAGGTTCTGTATAAAGAAGCTCTGCCTGACACGATACATGACACTTACACCGTATTTGCTGACACCTTTTCTGCTGTCACGTAGATCCGGCCGGAGCAGGTTTGTACTCCCCCAGACCCAGGACCAGTCTTTATTGTTGTCCAGTGTCCATCTGAGGAGTTTGTCCAAGCTGTTTGCACCAGTCAGCAACTGACAAGGTAACACTGTTTATCTGAGGTGTACATTTTATGAAATGAGAAACACAGCTTGTTTCTTTAGCGGAACCAAACTAAATGTATAAACTCTCTTTAGGCACCAAACAGGAGGAACAGAGGACCCTGCTGTGCTGGTGGCCCACATGACTCCAGAGTCTGTTTTGAGAACAGATCAGTACAAAAAGTGGATGGAGAGGTTTGACTTCCCACACTAGACTCCACAGTGAGTCCTCAATTTATTTTTGACTTTAAGTATTTTTACATACCGAGCCCCGAACTCTTCTGTGTTTCTGTAGGTTTCCGTCCTCGACAGAACACCTGATCCTTAATGAACAAGCGTGTACGGTTCACAACATCAGAAGTCACAAGCTTCAAGCCCAGCTGAACATGATTCACCCAGAGATCTTTCCACAGCTAAAACATTATAAAGTGAAGGTACTAATTTTACACTGATTATGGTCTGACGGTCTTGAGCCCCAACTGACACTGTTCTCAGGACTGTGTGTGAACATTTTGGTGCCCTAGGCCAGATGCTGAATTACGATATTTACCCACAATTATGATGATTTTATTATATTTTATCTCAAATTTAACTTCTGTGTCATGCCCTCATCATCTCAGTATTTTTTTTAACTAGTCAGTGTTATTTTTCATCCTGGTTTTATCATGTTCAGGTTATGATATAGAACATGACCAGATTATTCATATCCCCATATGAGTTGAACATTATCCAGGTTACTGTTTATCTGTGAAGGAGTGTCTGCCACGTCTCAACATCACAGACGGTCAGGATCATTCTTGTGCTGAGGAGCAGATGTTATGAAAATTATTCTTCCATCTAGCCTGTGGATGTCCTGACCGATTCTTGTGATCCAATAATTGCTTTCAGTTCTATATAAACAAAAAACTTTATAATACAAATTACAGAGCATACTTTAGGCCCACATCAACACGCATACATACTTAGAAACCTCAGGATTAACATCAAAATACCAAAGTAGAGTAAAGCAGAGGTGTGTTCACCTGCAAAATGTCACTGAAACGGATGCAAAATGTATCTCTGCTGTCATCATTCAATGTGGTTGCTGTTATAAAACCAAAACAGAAACTAATTTACCTTTTTATATATACATGGATTTGCCTGCCTCTGGACATCACTCACATTACTTGAATGGTGTAGATCACTGTTCATAATCTTTCTTTTGTTAAACTGCTGTTTCACTGACTACGACTATGGGTTGAGGACACACTTGTGCACATACAATACAGAAGGCTATTATCCACAGAGTTACAAAAACTGCATGTCACAACAGGTCACATGACATGTTATGTCCTCTTCTATAGTCTCCTCTCATTTTCAGCTGTTCAGTGTGTGTCTGTGTTTTGTTTTCTTTATTAAGATAAAGGGTGCACTGGATGTCAGTGACACATTTTTAAAAGTACCCTGGCTGTCTGACATTAATCACAAATGATTTCGGAGTCCTTTTTGGTGCTGCGTAGTTCGCCTGTGTCTAAAAACAGCCCTGCAAGGGACATCACTGCAGGATCCTCAAATAACCAGGCCTGCAGCTACCTCGAGTTGGTGGATTACAATGGTTAACAAGCCATACACATGGGAATTTTTATTATCTCTACCATCCGTGTCATATATTGTGAATGCTGTTCAGTTGTATTATGGATCAAGGTCTAAAAGCTCGGCATCCTGTGCTTCCCATAATGCATCTCAGTAGTGCCTTTTCAGAGACACTACTCAATGCCTGCATTAATTTTACAGGCTTGTAAAAAGTCCTCCAGAGCTACGCAAGGCACTACAAAACTGTTTTACAGGCTGAGTAGGACTCTTCATGATGGGTTAATTGAACTTGATGCGAGTGTGGAGTGCCTCTTCCACATGTCTAGTGTTGCAAGTCAGGCCTCTAAATGTACATCATAGCCATTTGCTCCTTTTCTGTGCACTGTATCAGCAACAACAGTATATTTTGAACTTTGCTTTAAAGTTCATGTAGTGATAAATCGGGTATAGTACACGACAAGAACACATCAGATGCTGTCTTTTTTTTTTCTTCCGCAGGAGCCTCAGGCTGCCCTGCACATCCCTAATGTCAGAGCTGAGTGTCTGCTCAAGTTCCAGTTCAGACCCGTAATGGAGTGGCAAAGGTTGGTTTGTCCTTCAGTCGTCCCAGTTTAAAAGCATTACTCTGCAGCTCCAAACGCTGCCTTGTCACAAAACAATCTGAAATGGATCATAGCACTCAGCTACTTTCTTCTTCTCTCCTCTTTTTTAACCTCATCTTACAAGTGTCAGTGTTTTTTCTTTTGTTTTTTTTTTGGGACACTTCGTATCAAATGCTCTAGAAGTGCATTAAGGGGCAGTTGTGAAAAGGATCCCTGTTTTCCCTGCTATTGTATTTGCAGGCAGCAGTAGTGTGTCTTCTTGACTGTGTATCTCATTCCTTAGAGACGCCATCCCCTCCTGCAACATCGAGGACTTTGTGAAAGAAGCTTCTGAGGTCCCAAACTTTCTAGAAGATGTAAACAAGTGCAAGAAGATATGCTCCACTGACCATGCTGAACCTTCTGGTTAGTTCTTCTATGTTTTTTCTATGTTTTCAGTTTTTATGTCTAACAAAAAAAAAAAAAATTTAATGCTCCTTCTGTGATGTTTATGGTGAAAAGAGTATATTTTTACTCACTGTGAATTAAAATACATGTTTTGTTTGCTTACCTTCTACTGCAGGGCGAGGAGAAAAGTACCCAGAGGTGATTTTCTTGGGAACAGGATCAGCACTTCCAATGAAAATCAGAAATGTCAGTGGCACTTTGGTTAATATCAGGTATGGCTTTGTTGTTATTTCATAAATTAGATGTTTGTTCTGTCAGTTTGGGTTTAGTTAATCACTTGAAATTGATTGGTTTTTTTTTTATTATTTATTTTTTGAATCAGTTCAGCGTACACTTCCCACACAAAAGAGCTGAAATATAAAATATACAGAATATATAAGCCATAATCTGTAACAACACAATACAAGTAATAGAAACACCAGTCAGTACAGCACAATAGGGTTCAATGGCAGGACAAACTACTACTTCCTAAATGGTCACGCAGTTGAATCGACACCTCTAAAACAGGATGTGCCGGGTGCACTTCCAACTGAGTGTGTTCTAAAAGTCTTCTGTATCATTTCCGCAAAACTGTGTCTGACATATTTTGTATTATCTTAAACTGAGATCTTGGCTGCAATTCAAAACAGTTTTAACAGTGCTTCAGCACACCATGTGAGCTTGTAAAAACGGACCTACTATCTCTGCCCAGCAAAGTTTAAGAGGTAATATAAGCCTTAATAAATAATGATGTGCACACCTAAATTGCACCAGTTGATTGTTTCCTATTTTATGGAGCAAAATCAGACATTTGCTCTACGAGACAGAGGTGTGTCCCATGAGACACTGTGCATTTACTTTGCTTTTGCTGTAGACATGTTGCAGTTATAAGAGCTGACAGATAAAATGAAATTGCACAATAAAAAGAATAAATCTGGACACAACAGTATGTGTTTTGCTTCAATACATGTCCAGTATAGATTTCCTCCAGTCTAGCTTGTAACTGTTGGCCTGTGCCCCTGCTATAGCCCGAGTCAGTCGCTGCTGCTGGACTGCGGAGAGGGAACCTTCGGTCAGCTCTGCAGACACTACGGAGATGATGTAGATGATGCGCTCTCCAAAATCTCAACAGTCTTCATCTCACACTTGCACGCCGATCACCACACAGTAAGCAGCTCTACACCGTGTTGAAGTGACAGGTGAAAACAAGCTGGTAGGTTTACTGAGCCTGCTCTAAAAACTCCTGGTGCTGGTGTTTATCTTTGTGTCTCAGGGACTGATAAAGCTGCTGTATCAGAGGAAAAGAGCACTGGTATGTAAGAGAAAATGACTTTCTACTAACACGGTTTCCTTTGCTCACTGTTTAAGAGTTACATTAAATACAAGGATGAAAATCTAACAAATGCAGATGTTTGTATCAATCGTAGCGTGCACACGTTTGTCTTTTGCTGCATATTACCTTTGCTGTTCCATACAGAGTTATAGCTACTATATATATTTGGTTTTTACTGTGTATGAACATCACAATGATCAAGTTTGACTGCCTGTCATATTTCTGTCTCCAGACAACTTTAGGAGAGGCGTTCAGCCCCATCTACCTGATTGCTCCGGTCCAAATCATGACCTGGCTCAACCAGTATCACCACTGCTGTGAGGAGATCATCAGCCATATCAAGTATGTAGAGACAAAGGCATCTTAATAATACAACACAACCCTCTGCTTTACAGTCCCACAGTGAAATACTGGATTTTGAGAGTTCACTTTGGCAAAGGTTAGATTTGATGATATGCCATTTTTGAAACTCGATGACACTCATTGTTGAAAAATGAAATGAACCTGAATGACTGTTCCGCACTGAGGAAGGCATACAGTAGCTGAAGTGTGCATCACCCTGTGTCCTGCTGCCAAAAATACTGTTGCACCAAATGTGGATTATTCTGCTGCTGAAAATAGTCCCCAACAAACACACCATTTCCTCCTTCAGTGCCCAGCTGCTTTATATAGGAATTACTGAAGCCTTTTTAAAGATGAAACTATGTGTTTTATATGTGTGAGATTTATTTTTTTGGTAGAGATCAGCTGGTTTGGAGCTAAGAGCCACAGTCGGAGCAGGGACAGTACTGAGAGACACATTATTGGTTTTGGTATTATTGTGGGATTTTTTTGACAGTAAAGAAACTCCAGAGTAACATCTGGCATATTCTTTTACATATTTGTCTGGGGTCTGTAAAAATGCGTGGTTGTTTTGTTTCAGTCCTTTATTTCACTTCCCAAAAACCGTTTTCAGCCATGCTATCAGCAGGCTCTAGTGGTGCTAATACTATGACATTAGCATGCTTTGTGATAATATAAACATGCTATGTTTAACATTTTTAGCACCTCTAGATTTTTAAACTTAAAACACAGTGGAACCTAATCTTAGCTTAGCCTGAAGTAAGATGAGCCAAGTCTGGCAGAGCTGAGCCTGACAAGTTGAGTCGTTCTAAAATGGCCACAGTACAGAGATACTGCTGTTTTATTTAGCCGACAACATGGTCTTCTTGTGGTTCTCTAATGCTAAAGTTGTCCCTGTTTTCAACCCTCACATCGCTGTTAGCAAGAAAGTAGATTTTTATTCTTGCTGAATTGCTGCCGTCATCGTTGACATTGTCGGTTTTGTTTTTCAGCCTTGTCCCCAACAACTGTCTGTGTGATGGCGCTGAGGTGTCCAAAGAGTTGACAAAGTCCTTCATCCAAGCACTGCAGAAAAAGAACGACCTGGAGAAGGTCTGCAGCTGGTCACATCCTTCAAGTTTTAAAACTTTTTAGCATTTCAAGTTACTTATCGTTTTGTTTGTGTTTCAGTTCCAGACGTGCAGAGTGCGTCACTGTAGGAACGCCTTCGCCTGCAGCTTCACTCACAGATCAGGGTGGAAACTGGCCTTCTCTGGTGACACGATGCCCTGCGATGCTTTGGTACACATTGGTTAGTACTGTACCACTTTCACTGATCTGAGTCTAAATTTCATGGACGTGTATCTAGACAGATGTATTGTAGGTAAAAGCAAATGGAGCGTGTGCTTTCAGTATTCTAGAGATTTATGTAAGGTCATCTTAACTGTAGCTTGAATACATGGGTTGGTCTGAATAATTTATCCAATATTTCTTAGTGCTTTCGATCACTCCCTTAGCTGGCAGCCTCTTCTAATGGCTCCTACGGGATCCCACTTCATTGACTCTTCTTAAATTGCTTGACTGGATTCAGTCCAGATACAGCGAGTACACCCCATGCCTGTTCATTATAGATGACTCAGCTCACCAGACAAACGGGGCATGCCGATTCTTGATTACGCCAACTAACTGATTGATTTCCTCGGGGAGGGGGGGAGCCTGTAAGTGCTTGTCTGTGATTCAGGCTCTGCTTTCCAGGAAAAAATGCAACCTTACTAATCCACGAGGCCACGCTGGAGGATGGGCTGGAGGAGGAAGCTGTAGAGAAAAGGCACAGGTGAGGAAAACGGTGTCACCAAGCAGCTCTGCAGGGCTTTAATGTGATTTATGCAAATGGTTGAAACCAAGGAAAATGGCAGCAGTTAAAGTTTTGTTTTCAGCTAGTGAAAGAAATGCGTTTTATTGGCTGTTGGATTTTGCTGTTATTTTATTTTGAGTTGTTAAATTTCTTCACTGTTGCAGATAAACTGCCATTGATTTTGGCACCTTTTTATGGTGGCACACTGAGAGTCTGTCTTCACATAAGCATCTTTTATGAGCATAGAGAAATATTTCCCCTTGAAACCTCTTCTTTGAGGAACTCCTTAAAATCCAATGTGAGAAAGCAATGTCAGTCTCTGACTTTGTACTTGATATTTTCTGATAGCACAACCTCCCAGGCCATCGGCATAGGCATGAAGATGAACGCCAACTTCATCATGCTGAATCACTTCAGCCAGCGTTACGCCAAGATTCCTCTTTTCAGTGAAGACTTCAGCGACATAGTGGGAATATCATTTGACCACATGAGAGTAAGACAAGTGTTGATCCATTCAGCAGTTGTGTGTGATGTGTTTAGATGCTTGACCAACACTGGTTCTCACCGAGCACTTGACAGATGTCAAAACACCACTGGATTCCTGAACTTGCTGTTGCATCAGTATGAGAGCCTCAGACTGCAGGCAGTACATTTGCTTGAACAGCTGCACTGTTTTAGTTCACTGGTGACTGCTATTCCTGATGTACATAGCTAAAGATTCTTCCCTTGTAGATGCAATGCTGGAAATAAATAGGTTATAAGACTCCTGCCACCTTATTTGAGACTCACCACTTGAGTTACAATTCAGACTTGGCACAGTCGCTTGACCATTTTCTCCATTTCCTTTTCTCTCAGATTCGATTTGGAGACTTGAAAATCCTCCCTAGACTCCTCCCTGCACTTAAAACTCTCTTTGCTGTGGAGATCGAAGAGATGGAGGAGAGAAGAGAGAGGAGGGAGCTGAAACATGCGAGGGAAAGCAGCTTTGAATTGTACAGTGGAGAAAGGATGACTGGAGCAGCGGACGTAAGCAGAGGTGCCAAACGAGACGAAGAGGAGGCAGTGACACACAGCGTAGAAACTAAGAGAATGAGAACCAGCTGAAGCCTGAGTTATTAAAGGAAGCTCAGAGAAAAATACTTTAACTGAAAGCATCCTCAGTTGTTATATTTAAATGAACATGAGATTTTTATTTGGCTTGTGTGATTTGATTGCATTGCAGTGTACAGTGCTGAGCTGTATAGTTTTTGCTTTTCTTTAAACAGAATAAAGAAATACCACCTGGTCTGCCGTTTAATACAGTTATATCAATCAGTTCATCAATATCTTATTCAGTGATTCCAACCTTTTGTGTAAAACATCCCCTCGCAGCACCATCAACTGAGCTCAGTCGACACTAGCCTTTCCAAATATGTTAATTTGAATGTAATCTAATTCCATTTTAATTATCCATTTTAATTATTGTTTATCTACTTATTACAAACCATCCTGAGAGGGGCCTAACGTGTTCTGTGAACCATATTTCATCTAATAGATACTAAGATAATTTGCTCAAAGCCAGCCTCTTGGTGGAGCTAGAGGAAAAGTCAGAATCAGCTAAGTTGTTATTCACCCTGGACACCACAAGTGGCAGTACAACATTTGATGGCCATCACATTGTTTAAATATTCCCGTCTGGAGTAAAGAGGTGGACATAAGGACACTGAGCCAGGCTGCTAGCATGAGTCACCATGGTCCTCCAGAACAGCTTCAGTGCACCTTGGCATGGACTCTCCAACTCTCTGAACTCTGCTAGAGGGATGAACACCGTCCTTCCAACAGATATTCCCTTGTGGTGTTTTTGATGATCTCCCATAACTGCTCAGCTGGGTTGAGATCTGGTGCCTGTGAAGGCCACAGCATATGAGTCATATCATTTTCATACTCCTCAAACCATTCAGTGACCCCTCCCATCCTTTGAATGAGGGCACTGTCATCCTGGTAGAGGCCACTCCCATCAGCAATAGCCATGTTTCATCCTACGATAAAAGTGATCACTCAGAACAACTTTGTACTGCGACTCTTCCCTCAGGGGGGACAAAAGGACCCAAACCATGCCAGCAAAAAGCCCCATAGCTTAACAAAGGCACTAGATACCCTCAGCATCGGGGTCAACCATTCAGATCATTCCTTTAAACTGTCACCTATCTGTAAGTAAAGTGTTACCCCAATGTACACTATGTTACTCAAACTCAAAATAAAAAAGAATATATATAATTGATTTATTCCACATACCACCTGGTAATTGCAATAGTATCTCTAATTTGGTTCCTTTTCATCAAGATGGCTATTTCAAATTTATACAAAAGAAGGCAATGGCAAATTATTCACCAAAGAAAAATGTCCTCTGAACAGCTGATGCTGAAAAATAATTTTCCAGCATCAGATCCTGTTCAAAAATGTATGTCCATTGATGTAACAATTTTCTTGAATTGCAGTTTAGTCTAAAGACCTTGAATACTTCCACACTACTCCACATGGAGGCTTCAGTGAGCCATCGACCAGTTACAGGGACCCAAAGGAAAAAAATCAAACAGTAAAATGCTCATGAAGAATGGATTATCTTTTGCCACTTGAGGGAGCGGTGGCTGCAGGAATCTCCTCTCTCCACAGCAACACTGAGGAGAGAAATGAGGATTCCAGCCATTAGAGGGATCAGGTATATTGTAAAAACCATTAGGAGATATTGAAGGAACCGGTTCAGCCACTCAGCATGGGAATCGTTAAAACATCTTAAATGTGGTTTACTCGTTCTTTCAGTCTTTCCCTTTCTTTTATTCTTTCTACATCTCACACCATTAACATGCAGTGTCTGCTGGCATGAATGAAGTGATGACTGAAACTTGACCTTTCAGTCATAGAGATCTATACACAGAGATATTTAACCACTGCTTTTTACCAGCACTTTTCTTGCCTCACAGCTTTAACCTCCTGTTTTTGTTAAATTTGTAAATGTGGTGTGGTTCTGCTCTAAATTTAAGGCCAGAGGTAAGACTGACTTCTATACCAAGAAGATCCCCCTGTCTTTCTTCAGATAAGACGTTCCAGACGTTGAAAGTAAATGTGACGATTAGCCTATTTTCTGGAGTGTGAAGCAGTGAGATGAAGATGCATTACTTCTGAGCCAGGAGTTCATTTAGGGACCTTTACTGCCACTGAGGCCACTGCTATCAGAAGAGGCATGAATGATAAGCAGGAAGGGGCTGAGATAGGCTTTGACACAAGAAGAATCAGAATGGTGGATTGATAGACCTACCTAATCATCACTTGACCAGCTGTGGACCATCAATTCAAATATATTTATCATGCTGTATTTAAGAAAACTACCCGAGGCTTTGCTCTTGCGTAAGCAACTTGACTGACCTGCTATTTTATATCATCTGATCTACGTCAGCAGTTTCTCTAGAAGTATATTTTGAATTCCAGTTTATTCCAAATTAGAGAGGAAGTGCCAGCAGTTGCCAGTCATGCTTCACCATGAAGCTTACTTGTATGGACATGAACTGACAGCAGGTACCATACATCTTAAGCTGTTTGGGGAAACAGCTAGACAGTTGGTTTACCTGAGGACAAAACTGGGCCATACAAGACTAAGTTGAACAACTCATCAACCACCTGACTGCAGTCGTCACATCCTGAATGTTTCTGTGGATTTTTTGTCTTTCTGGATGTTTTTGATATAATATATGCTGTATAGCACACACACAAATACTTTTTATATCACAGCAAATCGGACAATGGCACTTTCAGTTTCCAGTCAATAGTGCTCTTGTCTGAGGTTATTAAATCAGTCTGTAACAGTGATGTCAAATAAAACCTGCATCTGCACTCACAAAATATGACTTTGTTATATGACTGCATGGACCCTCTGCCACCTGTACTGGTGAGTTGTATTTGATGGAAACAAAACATTTATATGTCTTCGGGTTTTCAGGTGGTGTATTGTTTCTTCTAATTTTGTGAATATGGGTTAGTTCCTTAAGGTATTTTGTTTAAAATGAAGGCTAAAAAGGAAAGAAGAAACTTTTCTTCCAGCCCTGGATTCACCATCTACTGTTGTCCTGAGTCTAGCAACTAAATATAACTGTGGGGGACAGAGGAAAGTCATTAAAATATAACATTGTTAAAGTAACAAGCACCTGCTTTATTCCTTGTTGTCACTGTTTATTTGGTGTGAATGAAGGGAGACAGATCTAAACAGAGCGGGACACCACCAATCGGATACACCTCCTCCACCTGAATCCTCCGCTTCAATCCAAAGTCAATTATGTAGCCTGCTTACCTCTCTTCACATTTTCTGCCTGGCTGCTGATTCAGAGAGCAGCCCTGTTCCGCTCTGGCAGGAATCAAAGTGTGAGGTAATCTGAGGGGACTTGTGCGAGAAGGAAGCTCTGGGGCCCGGAGCCTCTTGAACTGGAGATCACAGTCCTGGCCAGCACAGCACTGTCACACGGACAAGTCGGTAACCATGGGCAGATCTGACCGGGATTCCTGCGTTACTGTCCATCAGCTGTCACCTCACATCTAGATCTTTATCTGGGCCGCTTAAACATCGACTGTAAACCCAAAGCTGCACCCCCTCCCTTCCCAAAAGACGACGAAAAAGATTGAGATTATAGATCCAAGTTAGGCCTTTGATAACTTGTGGAATATTGTGAAAATGTCTTTTTTAGATGTGGTAAAGCAGCTTTTTGTGCAAGGAGATGCAACACGACACAGGGCATTAATATTCCATGTAGTTGTGCCTGGGCTAGCGGCTCTCCCCCACCCAGCATGGCTGCTCTACATTAACAGACTGTCTGAGAGAGAAACCTCAGGAGGCACTCACCAGGCCCTGCATGTGAATAAAGCACACATCTTCCCCCAGTCCCCCAGAAAACAATCAGCTGTTCTGAGATTCACAAGCCGCACAAATCACATCTGCTTGCTGCTCCGTAAAAAAACAAGAAAAAAAGCTGTAGACAGAAGAGAAGGCTTTGAAAATCTTAGTTTTTACACAGTGAGCTGGATAAAATTACATTGATTTTTCTTTTTTCTGCTCTTGACATTCAGATAAAGACTTACAGAGGATTAAGAACCTTGTTGTAAAAACATGCTTTACATGCATTATTTTTTACTTCTACAATAAATGTCCCATGAGAGTTTGTATGCAATGTGTGGATCAGGGAAATTCTCCTCAAAAAAAAAACAAAACAGAACTCTTGCTCATTCAAGTGTGTGAGGTCTGATGACTGATACAAATATTCTGTGGGAAAACAGAAAAATCCTCAGGACTGTGTGTAGTATTAGAGAAAAGGACAACTTACACTTTAAATCTGCATGAAGGTGAAGTACTGCTTTATGTTTAGTTGTCCATATATGTTAGAAAAACAACACATGAACTTTTAATTTGACTGGTACTCAAAGTGCTTCAACTTAATACTGAAACCATCAGCGACTACTTGTGCCCTGCAGATGGAGGAGAAGAGGCCACTCTTACTAGGACAGAAATAATTCAACAGGATAAATGATCATTATATTATTTGCGCTGAGCAACTGACACCCAGTTTTCAACATACTTTACACCCCTCATTAATTCAGACTTTTATTTTAATGGCTCCTGGTACAACCCACTGCCTGCTGGCCTTCCTGTTGGATTTCATTTCTTACATTTTCTTCCTGTGCCTATCATATCAAAATCAGCATAATCATATATGCAGAGGCACGACCAAAATTGTGAACCCTTTGGAACTACTTGTTTTTCTACCTTAATTGGTCATAAAATGTGACCTGAGTTTCACCAAAGTCACAAATATTGACAAACACAAGCTAATAACACATCAACAGTTATAATGTCTGGGTTGGTTGAACCTCCTTTGGCAGCAATAACCTCAAACAAACACTTTTACTTCCATGTTTAGGGTCATTGTCCTGATGAATCAACTTCTCCTGAGTTGCAGCTGACAGCCACCCTGACATCATCTAACCTGATACCACCATAAAATTGGGAATTCATTTTCCCCTCGATGACAGCAAATTGTCCAGGCCCAGAGGCAACAAAGCAGCTCCAAATCGTGATGCTCCTGCTGCCGGGATGATGTATTCAAGTTGGTATGCAGTGCCCTTTTTATACCATAGGTAGTGTTGCGTGTTCCTCACAAACAATTCACACTTAATTTCATCAGTCTGCAAAACTTTTTCCCAGTAGGGCTGTGAAACATCAAGGTGCTCCTTGGCAAACTTCAGGTGCACAGCGATCCTTTTCGT